ATTCTTTAAATCTTATCTTTGAAACTGGCCCTCGAGCCCATTCCATTGCAATCTCCATTTTTTGCTTTGGTCTCTCCTGACATTTGTATAATTAAATCCTCATATATTTCTCAGGCTTTATCTGACTTTGCCTCCTTCAGCTCTGTCTTCCCTAGGCTCAGGTAGCACAGCCTGCACCTGATTTCCCCCTGTCCCTGGTTGCACCTCTAATATCCTTTGCTGATTCATCTTCTCTGTAGCCATCACATGGGAGAGTTCCTGAAGGTTTAACCCCAGGCACTCTTCTTTCCTTGCTCTATGTCCTCCTTGGACCCTCTCATTTACGCCCACACTTCAACAAAAGTCTTATATATATGCCAGTGATTCCTGTGTTAGTATCTCAGGACACTCCACAGGGCTCCAGACTGGTATACCCACCTGGTACTTCATAATGGGTACTTCACATCTCACTGCCTGGATCTTTTTCAGTTTTCCATATCACAGTGGTGGCTCCACATCTACACTATTATGTAGATCAGAATCCTGACATTCATTATTGACCCCTGGCCCTTCCTGGCCTCCCGAGTCCAGTCTAATCTCATTTCACTTTATCAATCTTTCTGGAATCAATCCTTTTTTTTTCCTGTCTTTTCTGCACTAGTACAAGCCACCATGGACTCTTGTCTGAACTGGTGAGTCCTGTCTAGTCTCTCTGATCCTCTTTTGCCCTCCTCTCTCCCATGCCCAGTACAATCTCTTCACTACATTCAAAACTCTTAAGTGGGGACTTCCGGCCAAGATGGAGGCATAGGTGGACTCACCGTACCTCCACACACAACCAAGATTAGAACAACAACAATTTAGAGTCAGAATAACACCCAGAACTGATAGAGAATTTATCTGAATGGAAGTCAGACAGCCAAGGAGTTGAAGTAGACTCATTCATCCAGACCGGTAGGAGGGGTGGAGAGGAGCAGCCGGGTGCGGATCGCCGCAAGGAGAGCAAAGAGAATTGGGCACACAAGGCAACTGGGGGCACGTAAGGCATCTGGGGCGCGAGAGATTGCAGCGGGTGGACCCTGAGTACGCAAACAGCAGCTGGCAGGACCCAGTGAGGCGGCAATTGTGGAGCAGGGCAGAGCGTGCAACCCAGGATCCCAGGGAAGGGACTGAGGTCCCATGGAGAACGGAGCTACCGCCATTGTTTCCTCCCACCCCACCCCCCACACACAACATCACAATCTAGCGACTGGGGTGCCCAGCCCTGGTGAACACCTAAGGCTCCGCCCCTCACCGTAACAGGAGCAACCAGACCAAAAAAAAAAAAAAAAGAGAGAGAGGGAGAGACATGTCTCAAACAGAAGAACAGATCAATGCCCCAGGACTCATCATTTTAAGCGACCGAGAGATAGCCAATCTATCAGATGCACAGTTCAAAACACTGGTGATCAGGAAGCTCACAGAATTGGTTGATTTTGGGCACATATTAGATGAACAAATGCAGGTTACCGTAAAAGAAGTGAAGGAAAATGCACAGAGAACCAGTAGTGATGGGAAGAAAACTGGGACTAAAACAATAGAGTGGACCAGAAGGAAGAAAAAAACAACCAAACAGAAAAGAATGAAGGAATAAGAATTCAAAAAAACGAGGAGAAGCTTAGGAACCTCCAGGACATCTTTAAACGTTCCAACATCCGAATTATAGGGGAACCAGAAGGGGAAGAGGAAAAGCAACAGATTGAACACATATTTGAACAAATAATAAAGGAGAACTTCCCCATTCTGGCAAAGGAAATAGACTTCCAGGAAATCCAGGAAGCTCAGAGAGTCCCAAAGAAGTTGGACCCAAGAAGAAACACACCAAGGCACATCATAATTACATTAGCCAAGGTAAAAAATGAAGGAGAGAATCCTAGAAGCAGCAAGAGGTAAGGGGACAGTAACCTACAAAGGAGTTCCCATCAGACTGTCAGCTGATTTCTCAAAAGAGACCTTACAGGCAAGAAGGGGCTGGAAAGAAGTATTCCAAGTCATGAAGGACAAGGACCTACATCCCAGACTGCTCTATCCAGCAAAGCTTTCATTTAGAATGGCAGGGCAGATAAAGTGCTTCTCAGATAAGGTCAAGTTAAAGGAGTTCATCATCACCAAGCCTTTATTTTATGATATGTTAAAGGGACTTATCTAAGAAAAGAAGATAAAGAAAAAACATGTGTAGTAAAAGGACAGCAAACTCACAAATATTAACAACCACACCTAAAGCAAAACCAAAAGAAACTAAGCAGACAACTAGAACAGGAACAGAATCACAGAAATGGAGATCACATGGAGGGTTAGCAACAGGGGAGTGGGAGGAGGAGAGAGGGGGAAAAGGTACAGAGAATAAGTAGCATAGATTGTAGGTAGAGAATAGACAGGGGGAGGGTAAGAATAGTAAGGGAAATGTAGAAGCTAAAGAACTTATAAGTATGGCACATGGACATGACTAAAGGGGGGGGTGTGGGTGGGAGAGGGTGTACAGGGTGGAGGGGAGTAAAGGGGGGAAAATGGGACAACTGTAATAGCATATTCAATAAAATTTTTTTAAAATATATTTTATTGATTATGCTATTACAGTTGTCCCATGTTTAATTAATTTTTTAATTGAATGATACCAATGACTAATTTTACCTTGTTGGGTTACCTTCTTGAGTGATGATTGTATTGTATTCCTATAAATATTTTGGGCTTCAAAAAAAAACAAGTACCTTGACCATATCAAAAAAAAAAGAAAAAGATACCATTGGTGGAGCTGCTGCTTCATTAAATTAATTCAGCTTTCCTTAAAGTTTTCTCATTAGGGAAATTGTCTTTCCTTCCATTTAAATAACAACATTTAAGCATTTGACATGATATAAGAACTAAGTTCCTAAATTGCATTAATTCTAAGCATCCCATGGAGTTACCAGGATAAGAAGTTTTACCCTGGATTTGTTCTTATTTAATATGAGTATGCAACATATTACTATGATGTATTACTATAATATGGTAATGCTTTGCACCCCTGAGTGAAAAACAAAAGGATGCACGGTGAAATTTTTATGAGAACTGGACAGGAGAAATCTTAGATACTTCCTATGTTTGTTCTATTTTCTATTAATATGGCAATTTTTAAAAGTTGTGCATTACAAAACATCAACTCTGGCATTTGAATTAATAAATAAAAAGAAAGGTGCCCTCCAAAAAAAAAAACAAAAAAAAAAACTCTTAAGTAGCACCAAGACAATTCAGTGGAGAAAGAAAATCTTTTAACAAATGGTGCCAGAACAACTAAGTTTCTATATGGGGGGAAATGAACTTCAATCCTGTCTTACACCCTACACAAAAATGAATTTAAAAATTATCTAAACATAGAACACAAATATAAAGCTTCTAGAACAGAACAATGTCTTGTGACCTTGGAGAAGGCAGAGATTTCTTAGGCAGGACAGAAAAAACATTAATTATAAAAGAAACAATTTACAAATTAGACTGTCAAAATGTAAAATGTCTGCTTATCAAAAGACAATAGTAATAAAATGAGCATAAAGCTACAGGCTGGGGAAAAAATATTTGCTGTGCATAAATCTCATTAAGGACTAATGTTCAGAATACGTAAAGAATTCCTACAAATTAATAAGATGAACTACCAGATTTTAAAAACTGGATAAAGATTTATACACTTCATTAAAAAAATGAAATGAAAAGGTGCTCAATGTCATTAATCATCAAAGAAATATACATTAAAACTACAATGTAATATGTCACCCACTAGAACGACTAAAATCCAAAAACAAGCAATACCCAATATTGGTGATAATGTGGAGCAACCAGAGCTCTTAGGCATTTCTGATATGAGAACACTTTGGAGTATTAGTTGGCAACTTGTTAGCATTACACATCAGCCCAGTGACACACCTATCCATGCCTAGGCAATTACTGAAGGTAAATTAAGGATATGTCTATTAAAAATTTTGTACAAGAACAATCATAGTGCCGTATTTCACAGTAGCCAAAAACCAAAAACAACAAAAGGTCCACCAATCAGTGGATAAGTGAACATGTTAACTATTCATACAATGGAATGCTGCTCAGCAATAAACAGGAATGAATAACCGATACACACAGAAAACACGGTGAATCTTTAAAATATGGTTGAGCAAAGAAGGTAGACACAAAAAAGTACATATTGTATTGCTTTATCTAAATAAGTTCTGTATAGGCGAGACTATGGAGACTGAGGCCAGAGAGCCTCAGGACAGGATGAGGTGGTATTATGTCTGCGAAAGAGCTTAAGGGAACTTTTTCTGGGATGATGGAAATGTTTTATCTCTTGTTTTGGATTGTGATCACACACGTATTTACAATTATCAAAAATCACTGAGCCGAGTCTTTAAAACTGGTCATTTTATTGTATGTATCATACTTTAAAACATTCAAAAAGAAAACACCACTATGGCTCTTCGAAGGAAGGAGCTACAAAGACTCGCGTGCTATATCCTGCCTATCCTCATCCTACACCAGTTTCTTCCCCGGGGCTTCTCCTGCTCTGGCACAATGGCACTGCTTTGCATCATAAACACCGGGCCTACCCCCTCCACAGAACCTTGGCATGTGCTATTTCCTCTGCATGAATATTCTTCCCACACCTTTTTTTCTAGTTAACCTTGCCTGTCCTTCAGATTTCAGTTCAGTTGTTTCTCTCTTAGAAAAGTCCCTTACCTAAGCTCCCTTGATTAGACCAAATCCCCTGTGACATATATGCACATCATCATCATATACCTTTCCTTTGTATGATAGTTCCATTGGTTACATTTATTATTAACACATTTGTTAATGTGTTATAAAATCAGTGTCTGTTTTACTCATTAATCTGTACATTGGGGCAAGAACCAGAGCTGGGTCACCGGTGTGTTTCTAGTGCTTAGCATAGAGCCTGGTACATAGTAGATACTCAATAATTATAAAATGAATAAATGGTGAGTTTGTGATTTTAATTACAGGAAATGGTGACTATTACTGTAGTGGGAATGATCTCACTGACTTCGCTGGCAAAATAGAGGAGAAAGTTAAAAATAATCTTGATATGGTGAGGTAAGAGTACCATTTGTCTGATCCTAAAGGGTTCATCTGTATTCATCAAACTGGTATTTAGTTAAACAAAAGTAAAATAAATACTTTTTGTGTCAGTGTAATTAATTATGACCTTGAACATGCATATTTCTCCAGACTGCCTCTTTCAATAGGTAATTCATTCTATCACTTTAACTTCTGTTACCTGCTCATCCTGCTGTCCTACATGAGATTTGATTGGAAAACATAAAAGTAAACTGTAGTAAATAAGGTAAATAGAATTCTCTCATATTGAGGAGAGGAGTTTAGCAAATTATCATCCAGCCAGAGGAATGCATGACTTCCATGATTGCTGGTTGTAGAATACTTCGAAGTAGTCTCAAAAAGCACAGAAGATATAAGGCTTCTCTCTTCCCATTTTGTTTATCCCCTCTGAGCCTGTCCCTCTGAGTTCTAATGTTGGAGTGTATGCCTAGTCTGCCATCTGAATCTCTAAGTCTACAGCTGGGCTACAGTCCTGACCTAACTGCCCAGAATACAATATTTGAACCAAGGTCAAATTATAGGGCTCACTGTGAGCTTCCATCAGGTGCCATTCAGATGGGTGTCCTGGATGAATCTGGTGTGACAAGATGGGGAGGTGCTGTTGGCGATATGGAAACATCCAGCCTAGCCAGAAACTTTTGTTATTCTAGAGTCCTGCTGTCTTGCCTATACTTCAGTAATGCTGCTTTGGAACATTAAAACATGCTTTTGTATTTATTTGTAGGATTTTTGTAAACAGTTTTATAGATTTTCCTAAGCCACTGATTGCAGTGGTAAACGGTCCAGCTGTGGGAATCGCCGTCACCATCCTTGGGCTATTTGATGCTGTGTATGCCTCTGACAGGGTACGTTAGTTCCCAGAAACTTATTAATGCAAGTAAGAATGAGATTCTTTGAATTCTCCTGTATTGTTGCTAGTAGTAAACGGATATTTTTTGTTGTTGTTGAATGGACTAAATTTAAATTTTTCCAAAGAATTATGCTAATTTGACTCATTTTGCGTTTTTAAGTTGAATTTTTCTAAACATCGAGCATGTTGAGAGCATTGTTTCAACTCTTGTTTCTATATTTTAATCTAATTATACAACAGACATTTAATTTTCATATTACCGTAAAATAGTCCAGAGACCTTGAAAACTTGCTGGGGGAGGGGAGAGTAGCATCTTTGCAGGTTATACAAGTAGATTATTTGATACTTTTTTCCCTAAGTAAATGAACTCTAGAATTTAGAATTTTAGAATATGAAGATGACTTTAGAGCATTATCTGCTCTTACTCCCTCCTTTGCAGATAAGAAAACGTAAGCTCAGAGAAGTTTCTTGCCCAAAATACAATTTAGTGTTGTGTTCACCATTGAATTACATAGATTTTTAATTTCTGTTTTTACTTCAGTATCAGTATATATCAGTAGAATGTATCAGTATCAGTAGAAAATAAAACTTTGAAAAATAAGGAAAAGTACAAAGAAAAAAGTTAAAAATTATTTCTTACCACTCAGAGATAACCAGTGTTAACATTCGTTTTTTTTTTTAATTTTTAAAATATGTTTATTGATTTTAAAGGGAGAGGAGGGGAGAAACATTGATGTGAGAAAGAAACATCACCTGGTTGCCTCTCATACACACCCCAATAGGGAATTGAACCCACAACCTAGGGATGTGCCTTGACCAGGAATTGAACCTGCAACCTTTTGGTGTATGGGGTGACTCTCCAACCAGCTAAGCCACACTGGTCAGGGCAACATTTGAGTTATTTAACATATTAATTTAACCAGTCTCTGACTGTTGGAACCCTTGACTGTTTTCAATTTTTGTCATTAGAAGCAAATATATGATGAATGTTTATCTTAGAGCTCTTACCCTAGAATGTTTACTGTGGAACTAATAACCACTTGCAGGGTTATCCGATTTTTAGAGTGATGCTTGTTTATGTGATGGTAAGATTTGCTGATCTACAACCTGGTGGGAAACTTGTGGTTTTTACCACTCACGAGATTCCTAGTTGTGCTTGGAGGTGTTTTCCCCACTGATTGATAGATGGGACTGTATAATAGTGCCCTTCACTCTTTGGTTTATCTTTTCCGGATCCCACTTAACCATGTGGGCAAGTTGGCATATCTGATTCTTACTAATAATTTTCCCATAATGGGAGCAGATGAAATCCTAGGAGCTACATGCCTAACTTTTATAAGTGGAAGTTTCTGCTCAAAGGCAAAACTCAATAGTGCTTGGTCACATTCTTTGTGTTAAATGACCAATTAATTGACCTGCTTTGAACAGGGATGGCATGAGGAATACCTGGCCTGAATTTCGGGTCTCATCCTTCATTACTTTTAGGGGAAATATCATATTTGAACCTTGTCCTGATTTGCCCACTGTAATGGAAATGACTATCATATACATTATTTTTTTTAAGATTTCTAGGACTTCCATCTTCTGATATAAATTGGAATTAAAATTGAAATTAGAGAACATATATGTAAATATATATTTAAAATGTACTTATTATATTAAATATAAATATAAGTATATACACATTTTTAATGCTAAGATTTGGCCCAAAGTAAAATACCTAACAAATAGTGACTATTGCTAAGAGTTCACCCAAATGAATTAAAACAGGTTTTAATTTTAAATTAGGGAAAGATACAGAAGAAAGAACCAGTAGAGAAGAATTCTTTGAATAGGATTTATCATTATTAGCTTCATGAATAAACACCATATTAAATGGGGGTTAACATTTAACCCATATAACCAAATTATTCTTTATTATGAGTAATAGTGAATTCCTATTATTTTGTCGACAAATGGAACCTTTATTGTGTAAGTTAGTAAAAAAGTTGAAATCATAAAAATGATAAGTATTTGAGTAGTCACTCTATAATAGGCGTTCTGTCGGTACGCAGCGCAACATTTATGTAATGCCCGCAGCAGCCCCTTGAGAGGGGCCCTCTTCCCCAGTCCGAAGACGGGCGTGCTGGCACAGAGAGGTTAAGGGACGAGCAGAGCCACTGAGCAGGCTGACGCCAAAGCATTAGACTAAACCCTTAGCTACATCTACAGCTCCATTTCTACAGATAAGCTGAATGCATACTTATAACATGCTTATAAATAAGTTAAATGCTGCTTATCATCAGCTTTGTATGTACCTGTTTGTGGTTTTCTTGTTTCGGTTTACTGCTATGTTCCTTAGGCTGTGACTCCTCAGTATGTTTTCCTGAATAAGCTTTCTTTTAGGGGAAAGGGGAGAGAAAACATTGGTAACTTTTTACTTTATATTTTTATTATTTTGAGTGGTATGCTGCATAATTATATAATTACATCTTTTAACAATATTCATTAAAATAAAAACATAATATATGATTATGGGAAATGAAATGTAAATATTCTGTTTACATATTGTCAATATTCATCAAGAAGCACAGAGATATTTCTGAAATATTAAAAAAATGACTATATTTTAAATAACCAGTATCGAAATATTTTCCAGTTTAAAGCCAGTCAAAAAACCTCTGGGGCAAAATTTAGACAGATGACACTGAGAAAACTTTTTTTAATTCACTTAATAAAGGCTAATCTCTCTAATATATTTTTAAAATGCATCTAAAAACTGATAGGTCAACAACTTAATATAAAAATGGATGATGGAGAGGCATAAATAGCCTACAGAAAATAAAGTATAAATAGCTCTTAAAAACATACAAGGAAGACACCATTGAGAAAATGATTATTAACCACAATATATAAAGAATTCTTACAACTCAATAATAAAAAGATAAACTAACTTAAAAATAATGGGCAAAGTACTTATAATAGTTACTTCACCAAAAACATACAGATGACTAATAAGTTCATGAAAAGATGCACAACATTATTAATCATTAGGGAAATGTAAACTGAAACCATAGCAAGATACCACTACATACCTACTAGAACAGTTAAAGTTACAAAGACTAACAAGGTTTAGCTAGGATGTGGAGCAACTGGAACACATACATTGCTAATGGGAATGTTAAATGGTACAACCATTTGGAAATAGTTTAGCAGCTTCTTATAAAGTTAAACCATATAAACTTTTTATAAAGTAAACCAAAATTTACTGCACAACCCAACAATTCCACTCCTAGTTATTTACCCATGAGGACTGAAAACATGTTCCTGCAGAGACCTGTACACAAATGTACCTAACAATCTCACTTATAAAGGCCAAAAGACTGGAAATAATCCTGATGGCTTGAGCTAATGAAAGGATGAACAAATTAAGACATTCATACAATACTACTTGAAATAGGAAGGGACAAACTAGTAACATATACAACAAACAGTGACTCTCAGAAGCCTTATGCTCAGGATGAAAGCCTACAAAAGGATAAAAGGTTACACAGTATATGATCCCATTTATATAACTTTCTAGAAAAGTCAGTTTTAGGGACAAATATATCAGGTTGGGGTGAGAGGAATGAATGACTGCAGAGGGACACAAGGGAACTTTCAGGGATGATGGAAATATTCTGGATCTTGATTTTGGTGGTGTCTACATAACTATACATATGTTAAAAGTCATCAAACTGTGTACATTAAAACAGTGAATTTTGTAAGTATATAATACAACAATGATCCTAATTTTTTTTAATTTATTTATTTTTAGAGAGGGGGAAGGAAAGGAGAAAGAGAGGGAGAGAAACATCAACGTGTGGTTGCCTCTCGCATGCCCCCTACTGGGGACCTAGCCCGCAACCCAGGCATGTGCCCTGAATGGGAACCGAACCAATGACCCTTTGCTTCACAGGCCCGTGCTTAATCCACTGAGCTACACCATCCAGGGCAATAATACTAATTTTTTTAAAAAGTTTCTCAACTAAGTAAGTAATGATTTTTTAAAATCACTTACAAAAGTTATTATTTTTTATTTTTTTCTCTAAATAGGCAACATTTCATACTCCTTTTAGTCACCTAGGCCTAAGTCCAGAAGGATGCTCCTCTTATACTTTTCCGAAGATAATGGGCCCAGCCAAGGTAACCTTTGGAAACCTTAAAAAATAAATTTTAATGACCCATCTCTATTCCAAAAGTAATCTTATACTCTCTCTTCTTTCACTTGATAATTCAAACAAAAGAAAAACAAATTATCTGCTCCTCAACTCCTAAAAGTCTTAAATATGAAGAACCAGGCTATGGGAAATGTCTAGTATGGAGGGAGATTAGAAACTGTCTCTGCAGCTCCCCAAATCTGGGAAACTGATCATTCAGCTGGCTGGTAAGTGGCAGGGACATCACAAGTGGCACAAGCTGCATCCTCCACAGCTGGGTGGTATTCCTCAGGTAAAGGACCAGGGCTGTGCCAGCCTCCCTTGGTCTGCTGGACTCGTTCCTCTTCTTAAATTCTTCCTGGATAAGCATCATCTGCTGAAAGTGATACAGTGGCATCTTTACTTTCAGAATCATGTGAAGTACCAGCAGATGTGAGGCCCCAGGGGGTTTTCCACTTCCAGTCATCAGCTGGTTTCACCAGGGCATTAAGGCTCCTAGAGCAGTTAAGTGGCTGCTCAGACCTGTCACTGAGTTTATGGAAACATAATTGCCCACACTCTGTGTACATGGTTCCAAAGGGATCATGACAAGGCTCAGCAAACATTCTTCAAGATCTGAAAGGGGGAGTAGGAATCAAGCCTATTTTCATTGCTCTTAGGGTTTTGTTGTAAATATATATTTTTTTAATCTCTTTATTCTGTCACAGGCTGAGTTCACATTTCAAAGTTAATTTCTTAGTCTTGCTTTTCATTTCAGGCAATAGAGATGCTTGTTTTTGGAAAGAAGTTAACAGCAGAAGAAGCATGTGCTCAAGGACTTGTTACTGAAGTTTTTCCTGATAGTACTTTTCAGAAAGAAGTTTGGGCCAGGCTGAAAGCATATTCAGAGCTTCCCGCAAATGTTAGTATTCCTTTCTTTTTTTACTTGTATGAAACAGGGAAATAATCTTATTAACCTTAAGAGAATAAGCAACCCAAAAAAAATACTTGTTTGGCTTTGAGTACATCTAAATTTGCAATTAAAAATAACTGTAATAATGTTAGCAATTCTGATTTTTACAAAAACTTATCAAATAGGCATTCCATTTCTATGATATGAAGGCACAGGGGCAGTTCCTTATGGGGAAAACTTTGAGGAGAATTATAGGACACTTTTAGTCTTGAATCTAGTTGAGAAAGTAGATAAGATAGGTTGAATTTTAGGAGATTCTTAATGTAGCACTTTCATTTTCATATGTCATAGATAGCTAGTGACTGATTGCTCTTACATTTTTGTTGCTCAAAATTGTGGTCCTGGAACCAGAAGCTGTAGTACCTAAGGTGATTTGTATGCACATTAAAGTTTGAGAAGCACTGTCTTACATTACATATATATCGTAATGTATCACTGGATTAAATGAACAATGAAGAAATAAGAATTAGAATTTTAGAATACTCCCACTCTATTAGAATACCTCTTAAACCTATTGTTGATTTTTGTTTTTTATAGTCCATGAGAATTTCAAAACAGGTCATCAGAAATATGGAGAAAGAAAAGCTATATGCTGTTAATGCTGAAGAATGTAGTGTCCTCCAAGAAAGATTGTTGTCCGACGAATGCATAAATGCAGCCGTGAACTTCTTATCCAGAAAAGCAAAACTGTGATGACTACTAGAGGAAAGTTAAATGTTTCAAAGGAATGGATGTGCTATGATTTCTGATTTCTAATATTTCAAATAAATGAACTTCACTGTGCCTTTTTCAGTGATGAATTATGATTTATGATGATTATATTTTACCAGAGCCCTGATGAAAAGTTAAATAAGCTTTAAGAATTTACATAGGTTTGCCCTGGCTGGATACTCCTGTTAGAACATCATCCTGATATGCCAAGGTTGCAAGTTCAATCTCCAGTCAAGGCACATACAGTCCATAAATGAGTCCATAAATAAGTGGAACAAAATTAACATTTCTCTCCCCTTCCCATTCCTTCTTTTCTCTCTAAAAAGCAATAAATTGTTAAAAATTTAAAAAATTAACTAAGTTTCATGTTGAACTCCTGACTCCAGTAGAAGCGTGGGAGCTGTGTGGGGCTGTAGTCCTCTCCACCCCAGGTTGCCGCCCCTGCCCTCTCCATGTGCAGGGGCTCGGTGCCCCCAGCTGCTGCTCCCACCCTGCCCAGGAGTCAATTGATCATATAGTATTTGATGACACCTCACTAGCGGTTCTCTGCTGGGGTAGTACTGTCACTTAATGGTGTTTGGGAGTGCTGGGCCATATTTTTGGTTTTCATGGTGTATTTAGTGCCCAGCGCCAAATATGGTCACATCCTGCATGCTAGGGACAATCACACCAAATAAAGAATTCCATCCAAAACACCCATAGTGTTGTTTCTTTATTGAGAAACATGTTCAACCTGGCAATTTTAGCATTCCACATCTAATTTTTGTTCCCCAAACAGAGTTACCCAAGTCCAAAGATGCATTTTCAGAATTACAACTAGTAGACAATCTGAATTTTGTAGTTTTGTTGCATTTATCTTAAATCCCCACTTGTGGAAATGGTTTCTTTCCCCATAAGAATGCTGGTGGAAACTGAACCAGCTAATTGACTCACCTGCTACACTGATGCCACAATAAACTTTTCGTGAAAAAAATGCTGAGGTAGCTGCAATTCTGCAAAGTAGCCAAGTTCATATAAAAGCTGCCCTTTTTCCTAACAATCTTTTTAATCCTTTTTTTTCTTTAGCAAAATCACTATTAAATATTTTACATAAATAACCAATGGGAAGAGGTTGCAGCATTTCTGTGATGTGTCTACCAGGAAATCTGGAGAACTAGCTTTGTTTCCTAGGATTCCAACTTGTAGTTTACACTCTTACTTATGAGGAGCTTTCTGACATGTGATTACTTATCATACTTCAAACTAAAGTTTTAAGCACCTAAATTAATTATTTTACACGATGTGCAGAATAATCTTTAATGTCAGATACAATGCACTGTACATACTGCTTTTGCGGATTTAAAATTTTTTTACTAAAAATATATTTTGTGAGCCTTAAATAGATGGCATTATCACTTTATTCTTTTTTAACAATGTTTTTCTTAATTTATTCTATTGTAGTATTATCCTGAGTAAATCCTATGCCAAAAAATCTTGTATAATCTTTGGAAGATTAAATTTTACTCTTGTGTGGTAGGACTGTGCACTTATTGACTTTATAGTCAGAATATGGTATTCCAGCACAGAGTCCACATGTATTCAGAAATCCAAGTTGGTTTCATACATTTCATTTGGATGTAAACATTGCTTTCTTTTGTTTTAAGACTCTATTTCACAATAAACATTTTGACAATTAAAAAAGTAAGAATTTATTTGGTAACAGTTTTTGGTAACAGGGAGTCTTACATCTTTTGACATGAATCGTCGTTGCCAGGAACAATAGAACATTGAGCTGGGAGTCCTGCTTTGAAAAGCATTCACAGCATTGCAAGCGGAAGTCATGTTCTCAAACACCACTATAGCACTTTGCCATCCACAAAGTCTGACTGACGTAATTGGCCCAAACATGGACATTGTCTGGATGAGTAACTGAATATCTTCAGGGGGCTGCATGTTCTTTTTCAGCCATCTAGCAGAAGAGCAAATGGAAGAAGAAGTATTACCAGAAAATATATAAGCTTAGTTGTCATTTTTCCCCATAATTTAATAAAAAGGCATGAAGGGAAAATTGGGTAATTTCACTGGAAAGTAGTGTTCTACATCACTATTTATTTATTATACAGGGTGGGGCAAAAGGTTTACAGTTATTCATATGAAAAATAATAATTAGGGAGCTTTTGGCCAAGATGGAGGCATAGGTAGATATGCTTTGCTTTCTTACACAACCAAAAGAAGGATAACAACCAATTAAAAAAACAAGAACTGCCATAAAATTGAACTGTATAGAAGTCTGACAACCAAAGATTAAAGAAGCATTCATCCAGACTGGTAGGAGGGGTGGAGGTGGGCAGCCATGGTGGAGAAGATACACAGCAAGGAAGCAACTGCCTGATGGGCAGGCAAGGCAGTTTCTGATGAACCAAGTGGTGGACAAGAGGACGAGGCAGGTGCTGGTGAACTGGGTGGCCCCACATTCACATGCAGATAAACCGGGATGAACAACTGGGGAGCAAGACAGACTGCAACCCAGGACTCCAGCACCAGGCAAATAATCCTCAAGACCTCTGGCTACGAAAATCCGTGGGGACTGCAGCAGCAGGAGGAACTCCCAGCCTCACAGGAGAGTTCATTGGAGGGGCCCACAGGATCCTAGAATGTACACAAGCTCACCCACCGGGGAATCACTACCAGAAGGGTTCAATTTGCTTGTGGGTAGAGGAGAAAGTGATTGAAAGCAGGGCAAGAGCTCAACAAGTGGCATAGTTCTTTCTCTGACCCCTCCCCCACATACTGTGCCACAATGCAGCAATGTGGGTTGTTCCACCCTGGGGGATATTAAGGCTCTGCCCCTTACAATGTAACAGGTGTGCCAAGACAAAGAAAGGTGGCCCAAGTGAAAGAACAGATCAAAACTCTGGAAAAACAACTAAGTGACAAGGAGATAGCCAACCTATCAGATGCACAGTTCAAAACAACGGTAATTAGGATGCTCACAGAAATTATTGAATATGGCTGCAAAATAAAGGAAGAAGTGAAGGCTATACAAAATGAAATAAAAATATGCGGGGAATGAACAGTGAAGGAAAGGAAACCAGGACTCAATGGCTTGCAGCAGAAGGAAGAAATAAACATTCAACCAGAACAGAATGAAGAAACAAGAATTCAAAAAAAATGAGAGGCTTGGGAACCTTTAGGACAACTTTAAACATCCCAACATCCAAATCATAGGAGTGCCAGAAGGAGAAGGGGAAGAGCAAGAAATTGAAAACTTATTTGAAAAAAAATAATGGGAGAAAATTTCCTCAATCTGGTGAAGGAAATAGACATATAAGTCCAGGAAGCTCAGTGAGTCCCAAACAAGTTGGACCCAAAGAGGAACATGTCAAGACACATCACAATTAAATTACTCAAGAGTAAAGATAAGGAGAGAACCTTGAAAGCAGAAAAAGAGACAGTTACCTACAAAGGAGTTTCCATAAGACCTTCAGCTGATTTCTCAAAAAAAATCTTACAGGCAAGAGGGGGCTGGAAAGAAGTATTCAAAGTCATGAAAGCAAGGAATACATCCAAGATTACTTGATCCAACAAAGCTATCATTTAGAATGGAAGGGCAGATAAAGTGCTTCCCACATAAGGTCAAGTTAAAGGAGTTCATCCCTGCCAAGCCCTTATTATATGAAATGTTAAAGGAACTTACCTAAGACAGAGAAGAAGATTGAAACTATGAACATTAAAATGACAACAAACTCATAACTATCAACAACTGAACCTAAAAGAAAAAATCTAAGCAAATAACTAGAACAGGAACAAAATTACAGAAATGGAGATCACATGGAAGGTTATCAGTGGGGGAGGGAGGAGAGTGGGGGGGAAAGGGTATAGGGAATAAGAAGCATAATTGGTAGGTACAAAACAGACAGGGAGAGGCTAAGAACAGTATAGGAAATGGAGAAGCCAAAGAACTTACATGTATGATCCAGGGACATGAACTAAGGGGGAATGCTGGAGGGAATGGGGTACAGGTCAGAGTGGGATGAAGGAAAGAAAATAATGGGACAACTGTAGCATAATCAATAAAATATACTTAAAAAATAAATACATATATAAACAAAAAATAAAAGACCTAAATTTTGCTTACAACTAAAAAAAGAAAAAGGAATACAATAATTAAGAGCCCTGGCTGAGTGACTTAGTTGGTTGGAACATTGTCTCATACACTAAGAAGGTTGCATGTTCAATCCCCCTTCAGGGCACATATCTAGGTTGTGGGTTCAATCCCCCATTGGGAAGTGTACAGGAGACAACTAATCAATGTTTCTCTCTCACATAGATGTTTCTCTATCTCTCTCTCTTCCCTCTTCTCCCCTTCCTTTTTCTCTCTCTAAAATCAATAGAAGCTATCCTTGGGTAAGGACTAAAATGATAATAATATCAGGATAAACTATGTTTTGTGTATTCAGAACTGTAAACCTACTTTTGCCCCACCCTGTAAAGTCTTCCTTCTCATTTAACTTGGTATTTTATAAAAAAGGCATACCTGCAAGCTGCCCTAACTATCCTTGAAACTGTTTTGATTACTACCATATGTATCAGTTGAAAATGATGAGGGTATAATTCCAGTGGCTGCAAAATTGGCATAAAAAATTTGGTCTCCTAAATATCTTCCTTTTATTTTCATCTTCAAGCATCAGCATCAGGTAGCCAACCCAACAAACCTCTAACTTTTAGTTTTTAATTTTTTTACTCCAGTAATCCTAATCCAAAGTGTTCACTCTTATGAACATGCATTAATGGTAAGAACAATGTTTATTGAGGACTTACTGTCTGTTACTAATGCTTAATGCCTATAATCACATTTTATTCTAAAAAAGTGCCAAAAATTAAAAATGAGGTAGGTACAGTTGCTGCTAACATTTTACAACTAGGGATTCAGATGCATAGAGATTTAAGTAGCTTTTCCAGGGTCAAACTCCCAGTAAGTGTTGCAGGGTGTCAGTTCCACTATGTCACCATAAGCCAGTGACTGCCTATCTCTCCCGCTAATTTCAACTAAAATCTGACAAAAATATGAAAAAAAAACTACTTGACGATGT